CTGTTTCATTCCTACCTGATGACTAACAGGATATATAGATAATAATAAACAATAATCAACAACAGTCAAACACTTTTATTCTAACTGTCTAGCAACAAAGAGCAGGGGGAAAACCTGCTAGATAAAATAGAATTTTATGTTATTATCAATTCACGAGAGTTTATAATTTTTTTTTATTAGAAAAAAGCATCCTAACTAAACATCTTAATAAGGAAATATATGTCTATAACCAGTAGTGGATCATTCAGATTCAGAAAGTAAAAAGCTGATACAGAGAGCAGTTCCAATCATTTTAACTCCAGCTCCTTTAATTCAAGTTCTTAAATTATCTCATATTTAAATATGAAACCCAAAGCTATGAACAGTTACTAGGCCTAGTCCCTAATCAACTCGAAAAGTGAACCGCGGTCAAGCCTGCCTTCACTTCGGAATTGACAGTCAAGCGAGCCCGCATGCGGATTTGTAGGTCGCCCCTATACTAAGAATTACGATAGTAACGTCTGAGAACGTTTCAAAATAAATAAATAATAAATAATATTTATTATAAATAAAATAGAATTTGCTGCTTTTGATGGGCTTTGATTTTGAAACTCCATGTGATTTAGTGAGGGTTTGATGAATCACTTGGAGGGCTTCATCTGCCATCTTTAGGTAAAAGTAGACATGTGAAAACACATTTATTAAAGAATTTAATGAGTGAATGAGGTGTATATTTGCTTTGGAGCTGATATTAAAGGATTAAGATATTAACCGCCAGACAACAAGAAATAATAGCATAAAGAAATTATTAATTAACTTATTTCAATTATGCGACAAAAGAAAAATGAAAATGGTATAGATAATTCCACATTATTGCTCTTATTTTGAAACATATTCCCCAGGCGTAATTCTTAGTATATGCACGACATAAAAAAAAAAAAAAAAAAGTGGAGGTTGGCTTGAAGACCATAGTGAAGGAAAATTAGGCAGCTTGGATTATCCACCTCTCTTTGTAACTTTAAATCGTTTGTTGCGGTGGCAAAATGTCAGCCGTGTCTAAACTAAAGAATCAAGGCAAGTCGGAACGAAACAAACCGTGGAGTTCTCTTATTCTTTAATTCACTGTTTACACATAGGACGAAGGACACAGCATTCCAAAGGAGCAGTTGATTGATTTCAGCCATTTTTTAGGGTTTCAAGAGCAGAAGTAGTTTAGTCCGAGATGAAATAAATCAGTTCAGATTACAAAAAAAGAAGAGACGCGAAATAATTTTGCAGTTGTTGATGTGATGCATTCAAGGTCTCTGTGGCGCAATCGGTTAGCTCGTTCGGCTGTTAACCGAAAGGTTGGTGGTTCGAGCCCACCCAGGGACGACAACTTTTTTTGTTAACATACTTTTTTTCATGAAAACATTACATAATGTATGTTACTACCAGGGACTAATCAAGGGTATACCCCGCCTCTAACGCGCGATAGATGGTAATTAGGCAGCAGAACCCTCGCCCAAATGTAGTTCTCAAAGCTGTCCAGCAGATGTCGACAGTGAGACGGGCATCGAGCGAATCGAGCATGGAGTCAAATTAGTTCACCCCGGGACTCCCATCACTAGCTAGCTAGCAGAGAACAGCACAGTAGGAGATATGTTTGAGTGGTTTTGCAAGTGGTTTTAACTGCCATTGAAGTTGCTTTGTGTAGATTGTTGGACAAAACAAAATCATACCAACGTCCACCGCGAGTAAAGAATTAAGGTATGTCATGAAAAAATAAAACAGTTGAAGTGCGCTTCTTCTTTAATTCACCGCTTACACCACATGGACGAAAGATACGGCATTCCATCGCAGGAAGTGCTTTGAATTTTCTATGTGCCCAAGAGCAGAAATAGTTAAGCTATAGCTGGAGTAAACCAGTTTAGATAAACTTGCAATCAAAGCAGGGATAGATCGAGTGCAGCGAAGGGTAATTTGAGTGGCTTTCCCGTGCTGCATTCAAGTCTCTGTGGCGCAATCGGTTAGCGCGTTCGGCTGTTAACCGAAAGGTTGGTGGTTCGAGCCCACCCAGGGACGACTTGCTTTTTAAAATTTTTTTTTTTTTTTTTTTTTAAAGAAAAGTCGTATAATTTATGTTAATACAAGGTACCTTTGAGACCAAAACCCATTCACTTTACCTAAAAGCGTTTTTTTTTTCTTATGATCAATAACCTTTTACAGCAAATTGCACTGTGAAATTTTTAGTTATGCCTCAAAATATTGTTTTCTATCATTTGATTCCAAATTTTTCTTTGAATAAAAGTGATTTATTCTAATCTATATACAGGTGCTGGTCATAAAATTAGAATATCATGAAAAAGTAGATTGATTTCAGTAATTCCATTTAAAAAGTGAAACTTGTATATTATATTCATACATTACATACAAACTCATATATTTCAGATGTTTATTTTGTTTAATTTTGATGATTACAAATGACAACAAATAAAAATCTAAAATTCATCATATCAGAAAATTAGAATATTGTGAAAAGGTTCAAAATTGATGGCCCCTGGTGCCACACTCTAATCAGCTAATTAACTCAAACCACCTGCAAAAGCCTTTAAATGGTCTTTCAGTCTAGTTCTATAGGCTACACAATCATGGGGAAGACTGCTGACTTGACAGTTGTCCAAAAGACGACCATCGACACCTTGCACAAGGAGGGCAAGACACAAAAGGTCATCGCTAAACAGGCTGGCTGTTCACAGAGCTCAGTGTCCAAGCACATTAATAGAGAGGCGAAGGGAAGGAAAAGATGTGGTCGAAAAAAGTGTACAAGCAAGAGAGATAACCGCACCCTGGAGAGGATTGTGAAACAAAACCCATTCAAAAATGTGGGGGAGATTCACAAAGAGTGGACTGCAGCTGGAGTGAGTGCTTCAAGAACCACCACACACAGACGTATGAAAGACATGGGTTTCTGCTGTCGCATTCCTTGTGTCAAGCCACTCTTGAATCACAGACAGCGTCAGAAGCGTCTTGCCTGGGCTAAAGAGAAACAGGACTGGACTGCTGGTGAGTGGTCCAAAGTCATGTTCTCTGATGAAAGTAAATTTTGCATTTCCTTTGGAAATCAAGGTCCCAGAGTCTGGAGGAAAAGAAGAGAGGCACTTCATCCACGTTGCTTGAAGTCCAGTGTAAAGTTTCCACAGTCAGTGATGGTTTGGGGTGCCATGTCATCTGCTGGTGTTGGTCCATTGTGTTTTCTGAGGTCCAGGGTCAACGCAGCCACATACCAGGAAATTTTAGAGCACTTCATGCTTCCTGCAGCTGACCAACTTTTTGGAGATGCAGATTTCATTTTCCAACAGGACTTGGCACCTGCACACAGTGCCAAAGCTACCAGTACCTGGTTGAAGGACCATGGTATCCCTGTTCTTAATTGGCCAGCAAACTCTCCTGACCTTAACCCCATAGAAAATCTATGGGGTATTGTGAAGAAGAAGATGCAATACACCAGACCCAACAATTCAGAAGAGCTAAAAGCCACTATTAGAGCAACCTGGGCTATCATAACACCTGAGCAGTGCCACAGACTGATCGACTCCATGCCACGCCGCATTGCTGCAGTAATACAGGCCAAAGGAGGCCCAACTAAATACTGAGTGCTGTACATGCTCATACTTTTCATGTTCATACTTTTCAGTTGGCCAACATTTCTATAAATCCTTTGTTTTTATTGGTCTTCAGTAATATTCTAATTTTCTGATATGATGAATTTGAGATTTTCATTTGTTGTCATTTGTAATCATCAAAATTAAACAAAATAAACATCTGAAATATATGAGTTTGTATGTAATGTATGAATATAATATACAAGTTTCACTTTTTAAATGGAATTACTGAAATCAATCTACTTTTTCATGATATTCTAATTTTATGACCAGCACCTGTAGATAACTATTTATTTAAAACGCTAATTTAAACTCACTGAAGCACACCTACGTTCTTTACATACAGATAATTGAAACAGTAAATAGTCCTGCATGGGACCCTCTTCTTGTTGCCCATGGCTGCTGGAGGTGTGTGTGGCTGACTGGAGGCTGACAATGCTACACCTGACTCTGTTGGGCATCCCCGTCTATAATTCTCTCATAGATTGGTGCAGTCAGGGGAAATATAATGTGCCTCTTTGTCGTCAGAGTGCAATGTCCTTAAACAGAGTTTAGAGATGGAAAGCAGTCCTCTGGGTCTTGTTTTCGTGTCACCGTTTAAAGCGGCCACACAAAACGTTGCATTGCTCACCTAGTTCCATACAGACACTCTGAGTTCAGGGATAAATCAATGCTGTGACAGGTTGTTCGGTACATTTCCACACTGAAAACTGCAGGGCTCTACCAGATGTTTTCAGTAAATCACATGTACTCTCACAGCTTAAGAAATAATTATTATCTGCAATGTTTGCTGCTCAAACTGCCTTATTTTGGCTCATTTCCAGACATAACAGTATCTCAAAAATCCATATCTTAAAAAAGCAACAAAACTTTTTGTTGAATTTCAATCCTTTATTCCAACGATTGTCGTGAGTTTTTATTAAATGTTGCTGCAACGTTTAAAATAAAATAATGAAAAAAAAAACATTTTTTAAACATTTAAATATGACTCCTTAGCACACATTCTAATGCTGAACTTTGTTTTAACTAGAATAAGAACAAAAATTGACATTGCATACAGACTTGCTGCAAATGTGCAAATACCATTGGCATGTTAGCAAATGTAGTGCTTGCATATTTATACAATGTTAAGAATGTGCATTGTTACAAAAAAAATAAAATGGCATTCTTAACCTGCATTAGGTGCAGACTTCATTTTGAAAATGCCCAACCACAAAAAGTGCAAGACAGTTTGCAGTGCCTTGAGAAACCTTTGAAAACATGATTGTATACTAATAACAGTGATTCAGATAATGTACTATGGAGAACAACAAAGTAATGTAAAGGGAATCATTTTCAGAATTTGTTTTTATTATTTTTTTCACCCCAAGTGATGGCTCAAGGTTCGGCTTTAGGCAGACTGGTGTTTTCCCTTGGGGTCGTGTTATAAGCGAGCTGCATGGCCCAAACACTAAGAGGCCTCATGTAGGCCAGAGAGCGGTAGATGTTCTTCTCGCAGTAGGCTTCAGGAGTCTGAAAGGCCATGCCGAGTCTCTCCCACACCGTCCGGTAGCATCCCTCTGCAGTGCGCATGCCTTCTTCAAACATACCCTGAGGAACGTCAGAAAATAAAACAGCCATGTCAGGGTCTGATCCATCACAATTACACAACAAAGTTAGACTTAAGTTAATAAAAAACAAAGAACTACTATAAATGACAATAAAGGTCGTCTAAGGCTAACATAGGTCCAACTAAAGAATGATAGTTTGGATGAGTAAAGCAGCCAAAAAAAGGCTGAAACCAAAAGGCTTCAAACAAATAAGAGAAGTTTAGTTTTCATTAAAATTCACTAATTGATAAAAGCTTAATTTTATCTTGACAGCTAACTAAAAGCTTTGGAGAACTGCTTTTAAAAAAATAAATAAAAAAGGCTGACTAAGGCTACGTTCATACTGCAGGCCTTGATGCTCAATCCCAATATATATATTTTTTTTTATAAAATTTGTTTGTTTTTTTTAATGGTCGTTCACATTTCCAAATATATGCGACCTGCTCAGATCTCCAGTGTTTAATGCATTCATACAACTTAAGTGTCCCGCGTGCGCAGTAGAGGACGCAATGATGTCACAAACAAGCATGCACTGTGTTTACGGAAGTAAATATGGATGGTAGCGCTGCAGCTCATCTTGCGATTTTTCCCGCCAACCTGAACAACTCAATCTTTTCAAGATGGTTAAAAAAAAAGACTGCTCTTTATATTATTGTTGGCCATGGTTGTTTTTTTACTGATTCTGCACAGCATGACGCAGAATACTGACCTTTGTTGAGTATTAATGGCGTACAGGTCGGATGAATGCAACTTGACAGTTCACACAGGTCGCATTTCAAAAGATCAGATTCATATCGGATTCAGGACCACATAGCCAAGTGGCCTGGGTCGCATTGGAAAAAATCGTACCTGTGTTGTTCAGACTACCATGAAAACTTCAGATACAGGCGTATATATGTGCAAGGGGAAAAAAATTGATTTGGGTCACTTTAGGTTGCTGTGTGAACGTAGCCATATTGATTTTTTTCCCCTATCATTATTTCCTGAATCGCAACTTGGATGATCAAAACAAAGCTGGTTCTAAAATACAGCCCTTAGGAACACCACATGTAAGGATTTTGCTCCCACTAAAATATAATCATTAATATGAACAAATAAACTTCTGTATTTCAAATAAGGATCCCTAGGAGGACATTAGCGTTTACATGGTTAACACCTGCATTTGCATTTTAAAATCTCTAAAGATATAATCCCCAAGATTGCCAATGTAATCCCTTAGCCAGTTGTTTTAGTGCAGTGATTAAATATAACATTGGAGCGTTTCGTATAAAGCTCTCTGTGTGATGTTCAGGCAGCGTTTCGAGAAATCCTAAAATGTGTTATGCTGGGAAATAGATCATATCTCCTAAATTAAAGCATTACTTTAATAATGTAAAAATAAAGAAGTTATTATTTCATACAGTTATAATAAGATCTGTTTCATAATTTTCTAGTTAGTCCATTATTCTACTAAAAAAACCAAAACAAGTTGTTTCACTATGCGCTAATAATTGTTAACCTGACAGAAGCCAGATTGATATGTGTTGAACTGAGTTTAGTTCTACGTTATCAACATGGGGTGGCTGCCGTTTAGTCAGTTCGTGAAAAGCAGGGACCTTTAGTACAATAATTGCCAGCTAGTACCCGCCTTCCATAATACGCTTTCAGCCAAACGTAGCAGCAAATCGCAACATTTCATAAGCTGATAAATCAAACAAATCCTGTCAGAAGAAAAGCACAGACATCTTTCCCATCTACAGATGCACAAAATGCTTCTCTTTGCTACTTTTTTAAACGAGAAATTGTCACAGTTTTAGCTAAAACCATGTTGGTTATGCTTCAGCAAGGCCCTTCTGACTGTCATCATTGTTTTTTATTTTTTTTATTTTGTATTTTTCAATTTTGCTATAAAACACACAAAAAGGAATGTGAACAGAGAAGGGCTATAAAAGACTGCCGTCATTCTTATTTGTCCCGCCCCCAAAAAACACTGCTGATATGTCATTGGTTTGACTTGTTGTTAGGAGACGGACGTGTTAGCGGGACTCTTTCAAGATGGATTTGTTGTGAGACTGAAAACTCAGATGACGCGACAATCAAGCTTGCAGCGCAAAGTTAAATAATCGTTCATCTAAAATTCAACTATTCCAAAAGTTCCAATGCAACGTGTTGAAAATTAAAGATAAAATGTGAAATCTCAAGGTTTTTTTTCTTCAATCATAACGGAAAGAGAAGCTTTGGATTAAACTGAACAAAAAAAGCAACAAAACAAAAGTTAATCAGATCGTATACTAATTAACTAATTTCAGCATAGATTCTTTTTTTTTAAAAGTGTTGAAAGTAGGCCCATATGCTCTGCAGCAGGGTGAGGTATAAAACCCAGGGAATTATATTAGGTTTCTAGGACTTTTTTTTCCTAAAATACAACTTCACAACCAGTTATATAATTTTCACACTGTATAAACATATGTCAAGGCGTTATACTTAATTATCAATAGGGCTGGGTATTTTTGCCAAAGTCCTGAGTCAATTCAATTTTTTTTAATAAAGCTCTAAATCAATTAATTTCGATTTGATCTGTTTTTACAATAATGAAAGTGGTTCAACTGGGTTTCAAAATACGCATGTATTTTGTTTTTTCCTGTCACATAAAACAAAGTGCAAACTTGTAAATCAGACAGTTTAAACATGAGATGTGAACAAAACTGTCTCATAAGTGCAAACTTGTTTGTGAAAAGTGAATAAGTGAATCCTCACGCAGCCAAGCAGAAATGACACAGCAGACATTAGTGAGCTGCATTATCTTTAAGGTACAAACCATATTTGCTGCATTGTCTGTAACAACTACAGGGTGTTTGCTGGTCAGCCCCCATTTGTTAATGTCTTCAGTCAATCTATTGGCTATATTTGCAGCTGTTTGGGTTGAAGTCATCTTGAGTGCATCTTTCCTGCTTATTTGAATGTGAACGTAACGTGGGTCACTATAAAATTAATCAATCTCATTCCCTAGACATCGATTTTGCAAAAATGTAAAGGAATCGATTCAAAATGGATTAAATCGATTTTTTTACCCAGCCCTACTAAGCAACACAGAATATACAGTGAACAGGACACAGAAATAATACATGCTAGAGGTCACGTACGAATCTTTGCAAAAACAAGACCTTAACTGGTGACCTGCAAGGTAGGCTTTTGAGCCAAGAGATTTTGGCAAAAAAACAGGAAACATCTCTTTCCTGTTTAAGAATCGGAGCCAAACAGGCACATTTAGGACACACATACATAAACACGCACACCAGCAAGATTTCAAAATAGCACTTGGTGCTAGGGTATAAATACAGCTTGAAATATGTCTGCCATTTCAGGGGAAAAAATGAGATGTCTGACGATGTAGCGCTGAACTTATGAAGTTTTTAAGACAGCTGTAGGAATTCGAATTGTCAATAAATGTTTCCCCCCTCCGGAGGACAAAATGGTGTGAATCATGTTCAAGAGTCCTTCTTTCTGTCATAAGAGAATTCTACCAACGAGCTTCCACAACAGCATCTTCAGAGACCAGAAAACAAAAAGGTTGGAGACTTTAGTCAGTGGTATGTGACACTTTAGCATAAAATAGAGTTGTCTAAATGAACTTTTCCTGCATCTATAGACAGCCTAGTGCTCCGTTTACCTCGCACTGGGACAGCAAGACCTTATGGACATGTGAATGTTTTGACTAATGGGCTTTGTGCTTTCTCCTGTACAGACTGTTATCAGTGAAGATAAAATGTTTGTACTGATGAAAGGTATGAACTAATAAAATCTAGCAAACTTTGTAGGATCAGTCATCCAGGAAATGACAATACTCAGTGCCTTAGTCTACTTTTCCATTTACTAACTCCTGTCAGTTCCTTTTGTTAAATAAAGGAAATGTTTGTTCAAATAATAAGCTGCATGCAGACCTCTATCATCCAGACATCTCAATTCTGAATCAAAATCTCAAAAGAAATAAAAATAATGTGTGCACTCACCTCATGGATCATAGTCGCTGCCAGCCCGTACACAACTCCGATCCAGACCTCATCTGATTGGACACTGGAGCGGTCTGGCACTCCCTCAGGGCGCATGCCGTTAACCGCACCCATGTGGCCTTCAGAGAAGCTCATAACATTCAAATCGAAGACGGATTTCAACGCGCCTTGGATCTTTTCCTTAGGAAATGCCTTGAGAGGGAGAAAAGAGGGGATGGTACGGAAACATTTAGATACTGGAATCACAAGCAAACGTTTGTGTATGCCGGTGGTTCTTTTTCTCATATTCATCTACTGCTGTATGTCCAAAAAAAAATTGCCAGTGTGACATTTAGGTCATTTGGTTTGACCTTAATAATTACTTTATGAAACGCAAAACATTCAGACATAAATATTGTATATTGCAATTAAGATACAAATATAGAGCTATTATTTTTGGCTCTGTATCACCCATATCTGCTGGAAATTATTGCTTTTTGGGTTTTTTATTTTCACAGCCATACTGCATCCATGTCCCATGTTTGAACATGTATTTAAAGGGGAACGCCGGTGTTTTTACATTGGGCCCTTGATTTTACATTATTACATCATGTTCTACTCACCCATTTGAGTTTTGTGTCGTTTGGAGCTTTTCTGAACATATTCCATTAGGTTATATCCAAATAACATCTTCCTCTGGGCAACCACTTGAAGGCACAAACTAAACTGTTCATAATTTATCATTTATGGTACGCCAGCATTTATAACATGTAGGCGAATCACTGTCCCCCAGACATCCGCGGTTATATTTTTTTATATTAATATTTTTTTTAAACAAAGCGGAGTGTGAATGACTTTATCCGCGCGCGTAAAATCAAGGGCCCAATGTAAATAAAAAAAACGGCCTTCCCCTTTAACATTTTGCCACACTACAGTTGCAGTTTATATATATTGTAAATATGTGATAATTTGCTTAATAAATACGTTGCCACAGCTGTATTTTAAACTCACCTGGTAGGCTTCTTCTTCCAGCCCAGATGCTCTAAGGAACCAGTGCCCGGCACATTGATCAGCCATGACGCTGTTAGAGAGCTCCCTCTTACTGCTATCATAGTTATAGTATTTCCCTAAACATAAAAGGGAGGGTAAAATAAAAGACATTATTATCAACATGTTGTTTTTTTTATTTATTAAATGCATCAAAACCTTCTTAACCTTGTGTATAAAGATAGTCTGTATTCATTTCTACTGGCCTGTGTGGATTTTTTTTCTCTTTACCAATAAAATGCAAAAACAATCTAAAAATGTTTACTCAATCTAAAGATGATGAGTAACAATTTCTTAAAATAAATGTATTCAACCTTAATTTGTGGCGGTAAATATGATGATCTCTGCCAATAGTATTTATACCCTTAAAATAGGATAATTAGATATTATGCACTTGAAATAAGAGACTGCAGTCTTATTCCATTGGCTTAGTCTCATTTACCTGCTAAATTCAAGAAAATATGCACTTATTTAAAAAAAAAAACTTGCTTAGATTTCAATTTTATGCGCTGTACACTGCAAAAACAATCTAGAAATAAATCAACAGTAGTTAAATTAGGTGTATTTTCCCTAATTTTAGCAGGTAAATAAGACAATCTGCCATTGGAATGAGTATTTTTACTCATAAAATATGTTAATTAGATAATATGCACTTCATATGTAATTGTTTTTTCTTATTTTAAATGTAAACTGTCTTGTTCCATTAGCAAAGTCTCTCACTTATCTCCTCATTTCAAGAAAAAAATGCATATTTTAAGAAAAAAAGACTTCCTTAGATAAAAAAATGTTGCAGTGTATTATTCTACTATGATTATTTCTGATGGTCCAAATATGTTTACATGAGCACAGAATCTCTCTTCATACTCTGTCTTTCTACCAGCATCTAATTTGCGGCAACAATGACTGCAGATATTTTTGCATTTCAGTTTCACAACTTTCACAAGTACTAAAATAGAAGCATAAACTGCAGACGTAGTAGAGTTTCCGATTTAAAAAAAAAAAAAACGCTTTGCATTCGGTAAATGTTTACACTTGGGTGGAGGACCATATCCTTCACCCATCAATTTGCGCCTTTTAGAATATTATTGGTATATTTAAGGCAAAAACACACAAAACAGTTTGCATACAGTGTTTGTTGTAGAGCAAACACAGATCACTTTGTGCCTTCTTTGAAAATCAGCTTACAAGCACATTTGCACCAGTTTCAAAAACACAGATTTTCTAAAAATCAGGCCCTTTGTTGTGTTATACTTTTACAATTTACAGTGGTTTACAGAGCCTACTGACGTGCTTTAGAAGCTTATTCCACAGCTTGTGTTTAGTTTCACTTTGAATTCAGGTAAAAAAAAAAAACAATTTAAAAGTGTTTTTTTTTTAGAAGAATAAAGGGAAAAAAATTGACTGTATTAGTAGGAATTGCTAAGAAATAAATTAAAGATTTTATTTTCAAGCGAGGGATGATGCATTTATGCTCTGGATGTTGTAATTCTGGTTCAGTGGCAGTTTATCATTTCATATCATCTCAACAATCAAATCCAGGCTAACTCATCCCAAACTGTTCCCTCAGTGTTAAATGACAGATATTAGGTGGAGCATACCGTTCCATAACAGTTTATCAAAAGCAGCACTGCCCCTGTCCAGCAGGTCCTTATAACGTCGGTGTTCCTCTTCATTGTCCAGCAGTCTGGCCATTTTACACATCACACATAAGGAAGCCAGCCACAGTCCGCCACAATATGCACTGCAGGATAGAAAGAAACCCAGTCAACTAGAGATATGTTACTTAGCAAAACTATGTCCTAGCTGTAGTTATGAGGAGTGTGCAAACACAAGAAAGATATTTTTAATTTCATCCGAGGTGTTTTGAGTGAACTGTGCCTCACCTTGGTCCAGTAACAGCCCAACCATCATACGTCTGATCGGCATATCCAGAGTTCTCTATCAGGCCGTCTCCGTCCTGGTCAAACTTCAGCTCAGACTCCATCACTGCCTAAAAGATCAACCACCAAGAATTTAGTTAATGAGCAAAAGTAATAAAATGGGTTGGAAGGAAAGGAAGAAGCACAGGAAGCACCCGATGTAGGACATAATTCAGGATATCAGGTTAGCAGGGGAGGGGGGAGGACACAGGGGGAAGGAATTATGATAAAATGGAGGTAGAACACAAAAGATGGGAGTGAGAAAGAAAGAAGGGAGGAAAATTTAAAGGGAGAGAAGGATGGAAACACAGATAAGAAAAATGCACCTATCAATTTTTTTCCAAACCAATCCGAAACCGATACCTAGGCTGAGTGTATCGGCCGATGCCTATACGATTCAACCATATCTGATCCAGCCAATTAGTGAGTATTGGAGCCAATATCCGATCCAGCCAATTAGTGAGTATTGGAGCCAATATCCGATCCAGCCAATTAGTGAGTATCGGAGCCAATATCCGATCCAGCCAATTAGTGAGTATTGGAGCCAATATCCGATCCAGCCAATTAGTGAGTATCGGAGCCAATATCCGATCCAGCCAATTAGTGAGTATCGGAGCCAATATCCGATCCAGCCAATTAGTGAGCATCGGAGCCAATATCCGATCCAGCCAATTAGTGAGCATCGGAGCCAATATCCGATCCAGCCAATTAGTGAGTATTGGAGCCAATATCCGATCCAGCCAATTAGTGAGTATTGGAGCCAATATCCGATCCAGCCAATTAGTGAGTATCGGAGCCAATATCCGATCCAGCCAATTAGTGAGTATCGGAGCCAATATCCGATCCAGCCAATTAGTGAGTATCGGAGCCAATATCCGATCCAGCCAATTAGTGAGTATCGGAGCCAATATCCGATCCAGCCAATTAGTGAGTATTGGAGCCAATATCCGATCCAGCCAATTAGTGAGTATCGGAGCCAATATCCGATCCAGCCAATTAGTGAGTATCGGAGCCAATATCCGATCCAGCCAATTAGTGAGTATTGGAGCCAATATCCGATCCAGCCAATTAGTGAGTATTGGAGCCAATATCCGATCCAGCCAATTAGTGAGTATTGGAGCCAATATCCGATCCAGCAAATTAGTGAGTATTGGAGCCAATATCCGATCCAGCCAATTAGTGAGTATTGGAGCCAATATCCGATCCAGCCAATTAGTGAGTATTGGAGCCAATATCCGATCCAGCCAATTAGTGAGTATCGGAGCCAATATCCGATCCAGCCAATTAGTGAGTATTGGAGCCAATATCCGATCCAGCCAATTAGTGAGTATTGGAGCCAATATCCGATCCAGCCAAAGTATTGGAGCCAATATCCGATCCAGCCAATTAGTGAGTATCGGAGCCAATATCCGATCCAGCCAATTAGTGAGTATCGGAGCCAATATCCGATCCAGCCAATTAGTGAGTATTGGAGCCAATATCCGATCCAGCCAATTAGTGAGTATCAGAGCAGATATCCGATCCAGGTATCGGATCGGTGCATCTCTAACAGATAACAAGGAGGGAAGTATTTAAGGATGAGGAGGAATTAGACAATGGGGTAAAGATTGGAAACAAATATTTAACGTTAGTATTATTTAATTTTTTCCATCTTTTTCCAAACCTGTAATAATTATCATACTTAAATGTTTGCAACATGAGGTCACTGGTTTGCCTCACAGTTATACCTGGCAGATGGGCCACATGTCCTGCAGGTACTGTCTGTCCCGGGTCAGATGGAAGTCCCTGTAGACCTGCAGGACAAACTTCAGGTTCAGGTCCTTCCAGTCTGCTGTGTCATGGATGAGGTAAGCGTTTAACCTCTGCCAAGGTTCATCATCTGGAAAGAAATGTTTTTGGTTTTATAAAAGGCACACGGCAGACCTTGTGACCTAAAGGGTTTACGCATATGAAGTATTTAAAATTATTTCTCAGGCCAATATACAGCGATTGACTACCAATGCTAAGAGCAGTGCTCTACTCTTGAAATACAGACTACAGTATTCTCCTATCCCTGCAGAGATCTGCCCCGCAGCAGACGAGCAGCCCCGCTCACCTGTTAGTGTTTAATAAACGTTTTAAACTTTCCCACTGCCTGTCTCGCCTCGAATTCTGGGTCCAATATTCTGACATCATTACATTTTTACAGGTTTGCTTAAAAAGATTTATATAGTAGCCCATAATATAATAGTGAAACATAAAGTCAGGAAAATGTCTCATAGAAAATGTTTTTTATTTGCATTTCAAATCAATATATTACTGATAGCAAATGACATGTATCTCTTGGACCTTGGAATATTACATGCCAGTCGCTGCTCCATTCAAGGCTATGACCTCATCGTTGTCTTGGAAAAACCGATGTGTAGACATTTACTCTCTTGTTCTCTGACAATAGAGTTCAAGCACCGCTATAGTAGTAGCGACATTCCTGCATTAAGTGGTTTGCTTAATTAATTGGTGATGTTTAGAACAGGATGACATACAAAAGAGGAACCCATTATATCCAGATTACGTTCTGGTCATACATGGTTAAATAGCAGCCTACATGATTTAAAATGGGAATAAACCAGATTAGCTCACTGATTTGTGCGTTGATCACATAACTATGTTCTTCTCTCCAAAACACACAGCTGCACCGCAGGCTTTGGAAGAAAAATCCAATCCATCACGGCGGGGCGGTGCTGATCCCCGCATTATTAACCCTTTATTTCGTATTGATGATTAAAAGTATTTATAACTATATTATTTTACAGTACAGTACAGTAGTTAACATTTATACCGTACTTTTATTTGTTAAACAAATGCTTGGGCCTGTATAAAGTTTTTATTCCCTGATTTCAATGTTGTAAGGAGTATTTCATCGTATGATAACTCAAAAAAAAAAAAAAAAAAGGTTTCTACTTGACGTATTTCACCTATCGCTGGTTCTTTTTGGAACGTAACCTCCGCGATAAACGAGGGTTCACTGTATTTAAAATGGAAATACTCCGGATTAGCTCACTGACTTTTGGGTGGGTCACAACCATCCCTGACAACAGTTTAGAAACGCCGCTATTCATCGCGGCAGCAAGCAGCATTCTTGCATAATGTGCCCAAAAAGCCTGGGGGGTTGGGCCTTTCATGCTTGTTGTATCAGGCATCATAGCGTCCTTTTCCAGATCAAACTGAAAATTTTACCAGCTAGATGATAATAAAAATAACAAAAATAGTATAACAATACGCCTATTATTATCAGAGTAAGATATTGAGGCTGTATAATGATAATCCCTATGGTCTAATGAAATTCCTTGGAAAGGTGGAGCGCACATCAGCTGATCTAAATAAAAGAAAGATGCCATAAAGTCAAACAGCATAATAGGCTACTATCCGTAATGTATATAAATAAGTTAAAGAAGTTATTGTACAATTTCTGATATCATAGGCCATCAAGTGATTAAAAAAAAAAAGAAAAACATTTAAGGCAACATTAATAACTTGACCACAGCTGGGACCGAACCCTTAACCTTTGGAATTGCAGACCATTCAGCCTATCCTCTACGCTAAATCTAGGGAACAATAGTGTTCTCAGCTTGCAACAACTCATACCCCTCCCAGTCTGCTCATTCACCTGTCTAATCTGACTCATGGGACGCCGAAATGGACTCAGACTGCCACCTAGTGGCTATAGTAGTCACATGTTTTTCACACAATATGTGAAACACGCGGAGCGTGAGTGAAGTGTCCATTTCCAACCAGCGCCCACTGTATGTAAGTAGGATGATGATGCACCGTCATTGCCAGATCATGTGACCTGGAAGAATGTATCGCTTCATGGCCACAGGCTTTTATATCGTCATAGAGCTAAGGCTTTTGCTCTACTATTTATCCACCTGCTCGACTACTGGTCATGGCTATAGCAAGGAAAAACTTCAAACCTTCTGAGTAGGCTTAAAACAGTAAACGTGAAAGGGATCGTGCTCGAGGAAAAGTAGATCATGGAGGGAGTTTGTTCGTTTGTGCAGCTAAAGGAAGAAGCCGGATGCAAAACCGATTCTCTTTTCTCAATGTTATTATTAGACTGTTAAGTTAACACTTTGCTCCTAGTATACAGTCATATCTCTTTGTTATTATTTTTGCAAAGTGGCAATAACATCTGCGGGAGGTAATATATCCAACATGCAGAAACACCTGTGCACATAACATGGCATACATTTTAATGAATACTGTGTTTCTGATACCTTCTGGACGGAAGCTAAAGTTACAAACAGCATGGAAGGCAACTCTGTCATGTCATTTCTGGAAAAAAAAAACAATTTACTACCTCTATTTGGGGTTATTAAGGAAGTGTGCCTTTCTTGTTAATCCAGCCCTTCAATGCTAGAATGTTTATTGAGAGTTACTGGTAGCTGGAATTCTTAACATGATTCTAGCTATTGCATTGGATGTAATGAAACATGCTACAAAGTTGCTCCGCAGTTCTGGGAGGGAGAGAAAGGTGACGCTCATTTATTCAAATCAGGAGGAGATAAGTTTATTTCCCGAAATTGTAGGGTAATGCTTTTTCATGAAACGGAGCCTTCTCCATTAGTTTTAGATGACTGTGATGAGACGGGTAGCCTGGCTGTCTCAGAGGCTGGCAGCTCCCGTTCACTACCTTCTGTTTTCACCGTGGCAGGCAGAAATAGAATGTCCCAGGTGAAGGTAGACAGATGTCACTGTGCACTTACCAAGTTCATTGCTTCACAGAATCGATAAGAGAATTGAGAAGGAATCGAATTGTTTCACAGAATCGATAAGAGAATCAGATTTGGTAAAATCTTATCAATTCCCAACCCTACTCCACTTCCTCTGTAAATTAAATACCTCTGGAGTGTGAAAAGCTGATGATCATTTCTCATAACTCTCTGATTAAATATGGCCTCACTTTGGCGTTCATCACCCTGTTTATTAGTCTATTTTGAGACAAGTATGGAATCAAAAGGCAGAATACCTAACTCACTCCTCGGATCACTCGCCCCACGGTGGATTTGAACTGCTTCCATCTGGGAGGAAATTCAGGCAACCCAAACCAAGAAGAAAATAACTAGCCAAGCCAACATCCAGATCAATTTTGATTTGTTGTTCAGCCCATCTAAACTGATACTCATGGACGAAATTGGGGAGGCAAGTACTTTTAGATAACTATTATGTTAAGTTCAGCACATTTGTCTGTGTTTGTTTCCTCCCCTTTCTCTTTCATCTCTGTTATCCCTCTCCTGACAAAATATATGAATGCATGACATGAACAATTGGGCAATTTGGGGCGCAGCAATCCATGTAGATTAAAAACACAGTTTTACAATTGTTATGAGCTTGGTATATATAAAGTCACATTAATAGATCTGTTTTTTTCCTTTTTTGATGATAATACTATGTAACAATAGTAAATTTGATTTATCAACAAATTTAATAAAACAAATATACTTTACAAGGTTATTGAGAGCTTTATAATGCGGAGGAGGATCTTGAAGTGGATCTGCTACTCTATGGAACCAGTAAAGTTTTTTTTTAGGAGGGGTGTTACACAGTTCTTTGAATGTAACTTATACTTTGACTTTTAAAGAAGTCTCCTATGTTTGTCTTTCTTTTTTCAGACACCTTGGCTGTGAGTCTAATAACCAAACACAAAAACATGCACGCACATAACAAAAATTCAAAGATTTATTTAAATTAATACGCCTGATATTACAAACCTTCTAGATTACGTGATCCAAGAGAAGAAAAAATGCCTAATTTAAAGTAGCAGACTCTCTCACCGTCTATCATCTTTTGCACATGCATGTTTTTTTTACAAGACTATAACTCCTGAACTGTTAAGATGAATCACACAAGAAAAGACTGAGGGCCAATCAGGAGCTTGTGGGCGGTCTAAACTTAGGGAAGCGGGCTTCAGCCTAAACTGCCGTTTTCTACTTTGTCCTAGTGCTCGACGATTGTCTGCATAATGTAGGGTAAAATTGTTTTTGGACAGTAAAAAGTACAGGGGACCAAAACGAGCTTTTGAAAAAATTACGTCCGCGGTGATACTTTTAATTTTTTATTCATTCAGTGAGTAACTTTTTCTGTGTCCATGTGTTTTATCTTGTTTATTTTTGTCCCACTGATCTTAGAGATAATGGAATAAAATCTGGTTTAATTGCACAATCACCATGATGGTAAATTAGTAGTATAAAACATGCGATAAAGCAGATGATGATGTCTCTACTACCTGGGTCTCCGATGTCATGAGGCACCACGTTTTTGGTCTTGACAGGAGAGTACCGGCCGTTCATCAGATGCAGCCTCTCTGTAGGATCCTGCTGAACCACACTACCGGCTGAGGGGGGACAGAGAGGTTAAACTACAGATCCATAAGGTTGATAGTGTTGAAAAGTGACAGCTGGGTTACCGGAGGAGCACTAGGATTTCACTCACCAATGTCATATTGCACACTCAAGGCGAGTTTGGGCCACAGCATTATAAGTGCAAAGGAGGCGTAGAAGTGCACGTCATATGTGTTGTACATTCTGTATTCTTGACCTGGAACGGAGGGTAAATGCTTTTTTTAATCTGAAAACGTCCAAATTTTCCGGAGATTTATCTGCATTAAAACAAAAACGTGACTTGCTCGTCATCCCCGACTAATAATCTCCACCATGCCTACCTTCTAGGTAAGCAAAACGACCGTACTCCTTGACCAGAGCGGGCTGAGCTGGCAGACCCCCGTCCTCACTTCGCAAGCCGCCACTGACGTCAGCGTCATCTGAGAGCTCCGTCCACACGGTTCCTCCGTCCGCCACGAAGTACAGCTCATTAAACAGGGCTGACTTGTACCAAGACGGAAGCAAACTGGGGACACAAAGGGAAACGTGAGCTGGAATAAAAAAAAACAGGCTGCACAGGATGACAAAGAGAGACACATTTCACTTCTTCTGATTTTCTTATTGTATTAGCTTACAGCTATTAAAACACATCTGTAGTACTTCACTGAAATTGGGATTCTCATCCTAAGATGGTAACATAATTTCCTACACATTTATGGAGATGACTGCTAACCTGATAGTTTTCCAGCAGATAGGCATTTGTTTTTTGTTTTTATCAGTGTGCTATATCCAGCATACTAGTGGAAAGTTGGGTTGAAGGAAAAAAAACAGATAACTGCATGTTTGAGGTGAGGTATCACTGATTCAAGAATTTGGGTATTACATCTTTATTCAGTGCCTCTGGGATTCTCAGTAAGACTTCATGAGAGTTTGCTAAAGAAAACTATTTCCAATTTTTCTCCATTCTTCTTATTTGCTCCAACCATGACTTTCTGCTTAGCATCTTCGTTACTTAGCCCATTAATATTGTTTTATTCTTTTCCCTTTTTTCATATTGGTAGGAGTTGCTTGTGTCTCCTAACCTGGCAGTAAACAGATTGATGTGTAGAACTGAGTTAAGTTCTACGTAATCAGTCTGGGATGGCTTCCGTTCGGTCTGTCAGTGAAAAGGAGGGACGTTTAGTACAATACTTTGAGCTGATTGGGTGACGTGTCAGCTAGTACCCGCCTTCCATAATACCCGTTCAGCCAATCTTAAGAGTGCTTCTCTTTTCTCCTTTTTTAAACGAGAAATTGTCACTATTTTAGCTAAAACTGAGTCAATTGTGGTGCGACAGGTGAGTCCTCCAGCGTAGCCATGTTTGTGATGCCCCGGCAAGACCCTTCCGAATGTTTTCATTCTTACATGTCCCGCCCCAAAAACACTTCTGGCATGTCATTGGTCCGACTCGCTGCTTGTGACATGGATGTATTAGCTGGAGTCTTTCAAGATGGATTTGTTGTGAGACTGAAAACTCAGATCTCCTGACATTCCATCTTGTAGCACAAGGTTATTTATCTCCCCTTAATATGTAAAATATCAGATTGACCCAGTCTGGTGTTGGACTGAGCCAGCTTCAATGCCGCTGTGCTTGAGTCTGGATTGGTGCTGCAGTAACAAGCATATGTTTTTGTCCATCTCTAGCCAAGTTTGTCGCTTCAGAGGAGAAGATAAAAGTAGATGAGCGACCAAATAAGGACGGAAATATCTCACAATGTGCAGTGATCATCTTGGGGAAAAATAGGCTGTCTTATTGGATGATCCTAGGAGAAATGCTGAACCTAGACACACATAGTGAAGCGCACTCGCCTGTAACCGTTGAAACATGTTTTCATAGCAGCGATTAAAGGTCATCCAGCAGCCGGGTTTCTCATATTTATGTGAAAAATGTTTTACAATCCCATCTACAAGGCTGTAAAGCCGTTTGACAGAAAGCGGAACCTAATTATAGAGTAATTTAAACAGCTGACACCATAACATTCTTATATGCTGGATTGTGCTGATAAGAACCCTGCAGCACGCATGACATTGGTTAGAACAGTTCTAACCCATATCTTACTTCACTCAAGAACCAACAATTCAGGATAAAAAGAATAAGGACCATTAGTGTTGCCTCAAATCTTCTTTGCAGACGACAGAACTTGAGATTCTTTTTTTTCCCTTTTAACTAAGGTTCTGAACCAATAAGTTTTCAATATTCTTATTATTTTTTAGCTGCATCTGTCAAAAATTTGCAACTAAATTACCTGTCCTGTAAAATGGGCTCCTGCCACTTCTCAATGGTCTCCTCCCACTGTTTGTAGTGTGTCAGCGCGTAATGACTGAGAGAGGGAGAAGCATCCCCTTCGCTTCCAAAAAAGCGAGCATATCTCCTGCAGAGAACAAAAACAATGTTGGGTTAGTTTGATGAAATTCAGGGATACAGATTAGGGAGAAAACGTCTTCAGAGAGGTTTTATTCATTGCAGATTTTTTTTTAGCCTTATTCTTCATGTTTTATGCTTTAAAAAAATTATCTGAATTAGTAATGAGAAAAAACACCATAATCTAGACCATGTGAATAAAGGTAAACACTAGTGGGTAGGGCTGGGTATTGTTCAAAAATTTTCGGTACCGGTACCAATACCGATACCTTCACTTCGATACCGGTTCCTGAACGATACTTTTTTCGATACCAGTTTTATAATATCAATTCGAAGAAAAAGAAAATTACACAACATAAAAAAGTACAAATCTTGAGTTTTATTTTAAGCTCTGATTTTTCCATTTACATTTTTCCTCTTACATAAAAAAAAAAAAAAATCAGTGTCTAATATTCACTGTAACATTGTGAGGACCTTTTTACTTAGCAGTTTACCATGTCTGACAAACAAGCCCGTTGAATGGGATCCTACTGACAGCGCACCGCTGGTATGTGGGGGTCTGAGCGGCTCTGACAAAGAATATTGGAAGGCTGATATGGATGAACTGACTGCAGTGATTAAGTTTTCAGGTGGATTTTCCCACTTAAAAACATAATAAAACTACTTTATTCCCACTGATCACAGCAAATATAGCTGCAAGGCAAATAAAGGATAGAGTAGCTCCGCCCAACGCGCATCAGAGCCACTTTTGCACCGCGCAGCCAGAGCAGCAAAGCAGCTTCAGCCGCGCGTCAGAAGCTGGAACAAGCATCAAAAAAGGAAGCAGCAGACGTGATTTTGCTTCTCCTGCTGCGTCCAGTTTGAAATTGCAGCATTATTACAGCATTACTCCGCTCTGGCTTTGCTCTGCCCACGGGCTGCTGAGAGGAGGATGGTCGCGCCGGCTGCGGTCCGCTCTTCTTGCAGTCAAACACCGAGCAACTTTCCGGTCTTAAATTGTCTCCGTGCACGATGTATTGCATTGCGCACTATTAGCATCAGTCTTAATAAAGTGAAGCCGCACTTTTGACCTGGGGGGCATTTTAAAGGGTTTCCGCGACGCTCACAACCAGTTCACAACAGAAACACATGAACCCTGGCTGTAGGCGTGACCACCTGTGTATTTTTCCTGGATGACGCAATCACGTTAAGTGTTACAGCCAATCACCGGAACTTGGTACCGAAAGACGAGGCATGTTTCGATACCCTGTAGAACCGAAGCATTTCGGTCGGTACCATAAAAAAACCGAAGTTCGGTACCCAGCCCTACTAGTGGGCTCCTCTGAGAAGGACAGTAAAGCTAACATGGGAGGAAGCATGTTTTATGGATGTGATGTTGGAGATCAACAGCCAAACCAAGTCTGTTTGTTACACAAAAAAGACAACACTTAATAATAAAAAAAAAGATTTAATGCTTAGCTGGACTAAAATGATATAAAAACAAACTTGGAGATCTTTGAGCATTTTTTTTACATTAAAATACAGAGTACATAGCAGCCAGGTGAGACAGCGCAAAGACGACAGTTTAAGCAGCAGCTTAAACTGGAGCAGGCTTGTGTAAAATGATACCAAATAGGAAAGACATCAGCAATGACTCTACAGAAACTATAGATGTCCATCAATTTTAGTAAATTATATACATCTCCTTTTAGATAATTTGTCCATAGATCTACAGTGAGAATTACTGAACAGTGGAAGCATTCAACACAGCTTTCAGTCTATAGAATAAATGTCCAGTTTCTCAGATGGTTCCATCAGTCAGTTAGAAGTAATAGGAATAAAACCTTAGTCTATATCTAAGAAACAGAAGTAATCATCTTTGGACCAAAGAGTGTTTAAAGTTAGCACGCAACTTCAATTAATACATCTCGAAAACACCAATCAGGATCAAAACCTGGGTGTAAAGATGGACTCTGCAGAGGCAGTAACAAGGTCAGACATCTATCACCTAAACAACTTCTTCAGGATTAAATTATTAATGTCTCAGCAGGACCATGAAAAAAAAAATTATGGATTAATCTTTAATAGAATTGATCACTGCAACCCTGTCTTCAGAGGTCAATCAGACAGCTGCAGGTGATCCAGAATGCTGCTGCCCACATCATCACCAAAACTATGAAAGTGGAACACACCACCTTATTTGAAAGTCCTTAATTGGCTCTCTGTATATCATAAAACAGACTTTAAATTACTTCTGTTAGTCTATAAATGACTGGCTTAGCTCCAAAATACTTTACAGACTTGCTGTCAGTGGATCAAACGTTCAGACCTCTATGGTCTTCTGGCTCAGGTCTACTCTGCATACCCAGAACTGAACATGCTCCACTTATCTGGAAGAAACCTCCCAGAAACTTGGGAAAATAAATTTTACGGATTTAATTGGATTAATTCAGGTTAAAAACTCATTTTGTTAGAGCTGCCTTTGACTTTGCCAACTATACATCATTAGTTTTACTTTATTGTCTAACTTTCTTTAATTTTCTTCTTTATTGATCAGATTTTCTTTTTCAATTGTCATGCAATGTACCTTTTCCTATGGTTTTTCCCCATTATGAACTGCACTTTCAATTGTTTTGCTACTGAAATGTGCTTCATAAATAAAACTGCCTATATGTCTGAGTTAGGTTGCAACAGAATGGGCTGGAAAATTAATAATCAATTAACAAAGTTGGTTTTGACCAAGCTAAAGGCCATGTCATACCTTGATGTTTGGAGGGCTGGTTATACTACTGCAGTAGTGTGTCGCAGTGAGCTTGTTTCAGGTATGACGCAGATGTTTTTGATCTATGCCCAATATTGAAGCGTGGTCTGCGCTATGTTATTCAACGCCACAGCGCAAGAGGGACAATGCATATTAGCTGTGGGTCTAGATACGGCCGAGGCGGTGAGGAAGTTGGAAAAAAAAGCAAGGGGCAAGTTTGTCGGACAAGGGAGGGACTTGAGGTTGAAAAAGAGGTGGAAAAAAGGGTCCCAATGTTCTCCCGCACCTCGCTCTTCTACTTGGTCCAACTTCACGAGTCATTTTCCGCAAAGGCGGTCATTAAAACAAAACAAGCCAGGAAGGTAACAAACAGGAAATATGTATAGAGTAGAGTGGATGTAGATTTGACCAATTAAAGGCCTCCTGTCTGCGGCACTGTCTACGGTCACCTTCAATTTGGGAGAGAGTAGTAGAGCGTCTGAGGAGGGGGCGGGGAAGTCTCTGCTTTCACCGCGACACCTATGCAGACGACCGAGTTTCGAAGTATAAATCAGCCTTTAGACAGTGTATGCCTTACATGTGAAAAATCTGGAAAAAATGCTGGCATACGATAAGTTATGGGTACGTTTCGTACAGGTTATGAGCATGCTGAAGCTCGCTGAAGCACACTGAAACACGTCAACATACGGCAAGTATGCCAGCTTATGCTCATACGTGGGCAATAAGATACAGGTAACTTATCTGATCCTTGTCATACATTAAGTGCAAGTTACTCATAAGTCATGGAGTCTAGCTTATCCAAAACATGAGTAACTTTTGCATAACTTATCAAGAACTTAACTCCAACGTATATGACGTGTTCGTGACGACCGCTGCACGAGTTTCTAAATTACAGCTACTGTATAATGGGATATTGGCAGCGTTTTGGTGTAAAAGGGGGTTCACAGGAGGACACTGTCAGTTCTGGTCCAGACTTCATCCCCATCATAGGGTGAGCATGATGGATCCTCCCTGTGTTCACGCCCACGACCCGACAAAATTCCTAGCAGGCATGACTCTGAATCTGCTGCGAATGCAAACCTTCTTTTTTTTCTTTTTTCTTTTTATTTATTTCTTTTTGGAGGGAGTGTTGGCCTAGTGGTTAGAGCAGTACGCTTGTGGTCTTAGAAGGTTGCAAGTACCCAGTTCAATCCCCAGAGCCTCCACTCTGGGTCTCTGAGCAAGACCCTTAATCCCATACTGCTCCCCGGGCGCCTCACAATGGCAGCCCACTGCTCCCCAAGGGGATCGGTTAAATGCAGAGTTTATTTCTCCATTGTGAGATCATAAAGTTCATTTTCTTCATTTTCTATTTCTATATTTTGGGCGAGCAGTGAACAGCAGCTAGGTTAATACCACGATCAAAGAAATCTTTTTATGCAGGGCAGGCGTCTCCGGGCACATTACAGCCCCCCTCAGGACACGGGCTTGCGACATTTCATGGGCATTATGCTGCCATGCATTATGCATAAGTTAGGCTGTCGTTGGACATGAGCTCTGGACTTTTTATGAACACACCATGTATGCGCCCAAAACTTAAAAAAAATACGTAGAAAGTTCTGCGTATTCCAGCATTTTCGAAGATTCTGGGACATCAGGCATACGCTGTCTAAATCGGAAAGGTGAGACGCGGCCCTAAGTTCCATGTTACCTTTCATTTCAGATTCTGCTCCAAATGACCCAAACGGTTTAAATATATGCAACACTGCAGATACCCGTTAAATCACCAAATATGGAAATATAGCTGTAGAAGAAGATATCTGAAACCTGTAGCACAGTGACACATAGCCACATGAAGTTGAAACCCTTTTCTTACAAACTGCACTAAATTAGGAATGTCTCACATAGGGCTGCAACTAACGATTATTTTTGATTAAACCACCGATTAATCCATTAATTATCAGACAGCAAAAGGTTCCTTAAAGAAGAATTTTTACTAAATTAAAGCAGGTGAAACTAAAACTTTTCCACTAATGGAGTTCTGGATAGAGCATATTGACTGATGAAAATATTTTTTAAATCTTAAAAGCAAAATATTTACACATTTTGACTATTTTGATATAATTACTGCTCCAAGTGGGTCGCTCTGTCAGCTAAAGGCATGTTTCAGAGTCTCTATACTCCAGTTAACGATTAAGCTATTATTAACTTAGTTAACGATTATTTCAATAATCGATTAATCACAATTATTCTGATTAATTGTTTCAGCTCTCGTCTCACTCTAATCCATGAGCTGCAGGAAGAAAAACAAAAGCTCATAAAGAATGTGAAGCACAGTGGTGGAGAGATGATGATCTGGGCTGGCTTTTTCTAATAAATCTTACGACCTTAAACCTCGAAATTTTATTTTTCTCCCCCATTTTTTTCTTTTTCTTTCTATAAAATATTACCTGATGTGTTCCCTCTCCCTGGAGCCAAAGGTGATTTTAGGCATGTCCCAGGCCAGGCAGAACTCCAGGCTGTTAAGTTCTTGAGCCTTCACCGGGCAGCTAACAGCTAATGCGGCTGCTACCTTCTCCCCCTTCTCTGTGGGTGTGCTGGATCCTGCAGAAGGTTAAAAACAAATGGCTTCACTGCTTCCATAAAATCTTTTTTACTACATTGAAACATCTACAAAGGACAAAGCAGCCAAAGCAAATACAGTTTCCCCATTTCTGTGTTTACCAAGTCAACTACTGACCTGTAGGGGAGTCCAGCCTTCCGTCTGTGATCAGGTCGCTCCACAGGCCGCTGCAGGTTCCCTTGGGACTAAAAGCCATCTGGTGACTCACCTCCCTTTTGTCCTAGTGCATTTAAAGCACACAGGTTTTTTGTTTAGAACTTTCTCATTAGGCCCAACCCAGGTCCCTACATCAAGGTATGCCCAGGATTTAAAATGTAACAGTAAACGAGGCCAGATAAGAGGCTCAGTCTCTCCATCTGTTGCTGCACAACCAAGTCCTTTGGTGGCCATTAATTTCATAAATTTAAAACATTACTGAAGCTCTAATAGTATATATGTGAAATATTTTGTGGATAAATAACCTGCTCTCGTGCTGCGATGCACAGGGTGTAAGGGTTGACTGGGGTGCAGTGGTGCAGCAGGACTCCAGACACCGCTTCCCCATCCTTCTCCAGGTGGAACGGTTCGTTCCAGTGGCCGCCGCTCTTGTCGTTGTCGTCTCCGGATCCGTTGACCATTGTAAACATAATGGAGACATCTAGATCGTAGTCGTTCTTGTTCTCTATGTCCCACACAAATACTGCTACGGGGAGACTGGAGTCCTGAGCAGGAGGAAACCACACTGAACATGCTGCTGAAAAACATTAATAATCAGCTCTTCAAATTAACGTATGCTTATGCTTTATGTTATAAAATATTTCACAAACAATAGATGTCTGGATAAGGACCCAAAAGTCTTCACATCGCGTACCTTTTGCTCGTACTGAATTGGGAAAGAAAGCCTATGTTCACTCATCTGCTTCCTCATAGAAAGCTTCAGAAATCTTTGGAAATGAACTAAATGTCATCGAGTGCTTTTACTTCCAAGTTCTTAAGACTGATTCGATAACATGTACCTGTTTTTCATGATTCGTTTTTTTTCTTTTAACACTGCAACAGTGCTCCCTTGAAAGTTGGTATTACCTTAAATGCAAATGACCTTGTTAAATAAGAAAAAGAAGACAACATCTGAAGATACAGAGTTTGTTAAACTCCTCTGAGAACCTTAACCTTTGCACAGATTCGACCAAAATTAAGCATTCCAGCAACACTTAAGGTACATTTGTTGCAAAGCAAAGGACCGGTATGTGTTGTGAAGAACTTCATGTCTACTAAGTACGATAAAGGATCTGAGATGCTGTGGGTCTGCTTCCCTTGCAGAGGCCCTGAAATCCTTAGTAGACGACAAAGCAACATGATTTCATTTGACACGGCTGGAGTCATTAGATGATAAAAACCAGATGCATTCTGCCAGAAAAGTGAAATAATGTTGACAATGAGTCTAAAAATGAAAACAATCCAGAACATACAGTGAGGAAAATAAGTATTTGAACACCCTGCTATTTTGCAAGTTTTCCCACTTAGAAATCATGAAGGGGTCTGGAATTTTCATTGTGGAGTTAGGAAGCTGAGACAGAGGCACTTCTTGCAAGAAATAAGGTTCAAATTTATTTAACGTCCTCAGATGGAGAGTTAGGGGTCCAACTGAGGCATCCTCAGCACATACATTTATACCTTAAAATTTCCCAACACGCACACTCCCCTCAGGGTAACCAACCCACCCCCTACACAAAGAACTTTCTCACACTTGAACATTGAAGCAAAACATCTTGAGTTCATCAGGGCCATTCCCTGTTAGGTTAATTTATCTTTCACTGGCCAGATGGATCTCCTCAAAACAACAGTCGTCCCCTGTTGTTTTGAGGAGGCTGTGTAACTTATCTCTCATGACCTTCGTTTGGAGCCTGAGAGGCTAAGAACAGACATATCTCAAAATTTTTTACTCCACATCATCATAGGTGCATATCCACTAAGAGACATAATCTAAAAGAAAAAATCCAAAAATCACAATGTATGATTTTTTAACAATTTGTTTGTATGATACAGCTGTAAATAAGTATTTAAACACCTGTCTATCAACTAGAATTCTGACCCTCAAAAACCTGTTAGTCTGCCTTCAAAATGTCCACCTCCACTTCATTTATTATCCTAAATTAGATGCACCTGTTTGAGGTCGTTAGCTGCATAAAGACACCTGTCCATCCCATACAATTAGTAAGATTCCAACTACTAACATGGCAAAGACCTAAGAGCTGTCCAAAGACACTAGAGATGAAATAGTTCACCTCCACAAGGCTGGAAAGGGCTACTGGGAAATAGCCAAGCAGCTTGGTGAAAAAAGGTTCACTGTTGGAGCAATCATTTGAAAATGGAAGAAGCTAAACATGACTGTCAATCTCCCTCGGACTGGGGCTCCATGCAAGATCTCACCTCATGGGGTCTTGATGATCCTAAGAAAGGTGAGAAATCAGCCCAGGAGGAGCTGGTCAATGACCTGAGAAGAGCTGGGACCACCGTTTCCAAGGTTACTTAATACACTAAGACATCATGGTTTGAAATAATGCATGGCACGGAAGGTTCCCCTGCTTAAACCAGCACATTTCAAGGCCCGTCTTAAGTTTGCCAATGACCATTTGGATCCAGAGGAGTCATGGGATAAAGTCATGTGGTCTGATAAAACCAAAATAGATTCTTTTAGTCATAATTCCACTAACCGAGTTTGGAGGAAGAAGAGTGATGAGTACCATCCCAATAACACCATCCCTACTGTGAAGCATGGGGGTGGTAGCATCATGCTTTGGGGCTGTTTTTCTGCACATGGGACAGGACAACTGCACTGTATTAAGGAGAGGACAATTGGAGCCATACTGTATATCACAAGATTTTGGGGAACAGCCTCTTTCCCTCAGAGCATTGAAGATGGGTCTTCCAACATGGAAGCGCAAAGTCAGAAAATCCAAAAAGTGGCTCCATAAGAATCATATCAAGATCATGCTTTGGGGGTGTTCTTCTGCACATAGGACAGGGCGACTGCACTGTATTCGGGAGGATGACCGGGGCCATGTGTTGGGAGGTTTTGGGGAACAACCTCCTTCCCTGCGTTAGAGCATTGAAGATGGGTTGAGGCTGGGTCTTCCAGCATGACAATGACCCAGAACATACAGCCAGGATAACCAAGGAGTAGGGCTGGGTACTGAACATCGGTTCTTTAATGGTACCGACCGAAATGCTTCGGTTCTACAGAGTATCGAAACATACCTCGTCTTTCGGTGCCAAGTTTCGGTGATTGGCTGTAACACTTATTGTGATTGCGTCATCCAGGAAAAATACATAGGTGGTCACGCCTACAGCCAGGGTTCATGTGTATCTGTTGTGAACTGGTTGTGAGCGTCGTGGAACCCCTTTAAAATGCCCCCCAGGTCAAAAGTGTGGCTTCACTTTATTAAGACTGATGCCAATAGTGCGTAATGCAATACATCGTGCACGGAAATAATTTAAGAGCAGAAAGTTGCTCGGTGTTTGACTGCAAGAAGAGCGGTGCAACCATCCTCCTCTCAGCAGCCCCTGGGCAGAGCAAAGCCAGAGTGGAGTGAATCATGCTGCTTTCAAACTGGACGCAGCAGGAGCAGCAAAATCGCGTCGGCTGCTTCATTTTTGCTGCTTGTACCAGCTACTGACGCGCGTTGGGTGGAGCTACTCTATCCTTTATTTGCCTTGCAGCTATATTTGCTGTGATCAGTGGGAATAAAGTAGTTTTATTATGTTTTTAAGTGGGAAAATCCACCTGAAAACTTAATCAGTGCAGTCAGTTCATCCAGATTACCATCCTGCCTTCCAATATTATTTCTGTTGGAGCCGCTCAGACCCCCACATACAAGCGGTGCGCTGTCAGTAGGATCTCATTCAACGGGCTTGTTTGTCTCCTGAGAAAGCAGACATGTTAATTTTTCTAAAGAAAAACTGCTAAGTAAAAAGGTCTTCACAATGTAAAAGTGAATATTAGACACTGATTGTTTTCAACTGTTCTTCTTCAATAAAAAAAAAATTTTAATGTAAGAGGAAAAATGTAAATGTAAAAATCAGAGCTTAAAATAAAACTCAAGATTTTTACTTTATTATGTTGAGTAATTTTCTTTTTCTTCGAATTGATATTATAAAACTGGTATCAAAAAAAGTATCGTTCGAGAACCGGTATCGAAGTGAAGGTACCGGTATTGGTACCGGCACCGAAACTTTTTGAACAATACCCAGCCCTACCAAGGAGTGGCTCTGTAAGAAAAATATCCAGGTTCTGGCGTGGCCTAGCCAGTCTCCAGACCTAAACCCAATAGAGAATCTTTGGAGAGAGCTAAAACTCTGTTTCTCAGCGACAGCCCAGAAACCCTAGATTTCGACTTTTTTCCAGTGCAGGAAACGTTTGACCTCTGTAATTGCAAACAATGGCTACTGTACCAAATATTAACATTTATTTTTTCAGGTCTTTAAATACTTATATACAGCTGTATCATACAAATAAATAGTAAAAAAAAATGATATATTGTGATTTCTGGATTTTGTTTTCTAGATTATGTCTCTGCCAGTGGACATGCACCTACGATGACAACTTCTGTCCCATCCATGTTTTATAAGTGGGTGAACTTGCAAAATAGCAGGGTGTTCAAATACAGATTTTCCTCACTGTATAACCAAAGAGAAACTGCTAAGAATTCCCCTCTCTCTCCCTCTGGTCCATCATTGAATTGCCTAATGTTATAATGTTAATAGGTGGATTCCTATTGGGTAGAAGAGGACATTGAAAGTATTACCATGTGCATCATCAATTGTGTCACTACATTAATAATGAATAGTTGGATTCTTCTGATTAGTCAAAGTGAAATTATGCTGGTTTAATAAAGCATGCACCTATTGTATTGAACAGATCATTACATCACTGCGTTGCAGCAGTTCCGGTGGTCCTGCCACCTGGTGTTTTGTGTTATCTTTACTGAATCTCATAAAATCCCCTGTAAAGTGTAACTAAAGCAATTTGAGGAGTGAGTCAGAGACACCCCACTAACCTTGTAATCATGGGGGATGATGGGGGAAATCTGCCTGCAGGTGAGGGTGACATTCTGGCCAGGCAGCTGGTAAACAGTCCAGGCGCGGGGATACAAGGCGTGATAGAAGGCGTACTCCCCGCAGAAGCCCCAGTTCCAGCCTTGCAGCGTTGGCGGACGCTCCACAGACAGAACCTGCTGGTAAACAGTTTGTCCTCCGCGGCGCAAGCACACGGTGAACTAGAAAAAGAAAAAGTTTCACCATGCTGTCGATTTAAAAGTAATGAGCAATTTTTGAAACATGCTTCTGACAGCAAGCCTGAACCAGAGTGTGTCTCCAGTTGACTTTCAAGCCAAACCAGTAGCGGTTGAGAAGAAGACAAGTTTTTCCAGTCCCAGACAGACTCGCTACCATCTTCCAAACAATCAAAGGACAATCAGTCCATAAGGACTTTCTCCTATAAGAGCTTTAGCTTTTCACCTAAATAAACAAAAATATTAAAACTATTGGCTAATTTTGTCAAGCTGGCTCAGGATGTTTAAAAAGAAGAGGAGACAGATTTTTTTCTCTGTAGGACAATGCCCCCCTCCTAGCATGAACAGAACATGTGGTAAATCGCCAGCAAAGATCTTTATGATCCTGTTTAAAGATGAAGGAGAATAAATAACCCTTTTATCGCTTTGTTCTTTACAGAGCAGCACAACAGTAATGAGTTGTTACAAAACCTGGGTTGCTAACTGCAGTATCAATACAGCTTTGAAGTAATACTATGGGTATCCTTCAGTTTCCACAAACCAATTGAAGTGAAGCCACCCAGTCAATTAATTACAGAGACTCATTAGCAATAAAATTGGAAGTTGTTTGCATTTGTTAAGCTTGAAAAAAAGCTTGCAATGCTTCATTTATTATATACTCCTTGTCGTCGTCTCCAGCTTCATCCAGGACGGGTGGCTTGGGCAGCAGTCTCAGCAGAGACTCTCAGACTTCCCTCTCCATAGACACCTCCTCCAGCTCTGCTGGGGGAAGCCAGAGGAGCTCCCAGGCCAGCTGACAGTCACAGTAACTCCGTTGTGTCCTGGGTCACCCCCTGGATTTCCTCCCAGTGGAACATGCCTGGAACATCTGAAAAAGATGTCATGCCACCTCAGCGGACTCCTTTCAACGCGGAGGAGAAGCGGCTCTACTCTGAGCCTCTTCCAAATGACCGGCTCCACACCCTATCTCTAAGAAAGAACCCAGCCACCCTGCAGAGAAAGCTAATTTCAGCCGTTTGTATCAGGGATCTCGTTTCTTTAGTCATGATCCAGATTTTATCACCATCGGTGAGAGCAGAGTGAGGAGCTCAGTCATCCGGGAAGGACTCAGAGTAGAACCGCTGCTCCTCCCCATCGAGGGGAGCCAGTTGAGGTGGCTCGGACATCTGATTAGGACGCCTCCTGGACGTCTCCCTGGTGAGGTGTTCCAGGCACGTCCCACTGGGAGGAGGCCCAGGGGGTGACCCAGGACAAGCTGGAGAGACTATGTCTCTCGGCTGGCCTGGGAGCGCCTTGGGATTCCTCCGGAGGAGCTGGCCCAAGTAGCTGGAGAGAGGGACGTCTGGGCCTCCCTACTGATGCTGCAACACCCGCGACCCGACCCCGGAGAAGCGGAAGAAGATGGATGGATGGTGAGAGTAGGAATGTAGGCCGACCAGTAAATCAAGCCTTTGCGATTTGGCTCAAACCGCTGCACGTCTGCATTATAGCCTCAGCCACACCAATCTGTCTATCGATCTCCTGCTCCACTCTCCTCTAACTCTAAGACCCCAACATACTTTAACTCCTCCACTTGAGGCAGGAACTCCAACCTAAAAGGGAGAAGCCATCTTTTGTAATCATATGTAATAATATAATAAAATCATGCTTCATCTTTTCCACCCTCTTGTTTCTGTACATTATTGTCTTTACCCGCTGTGTATGCGCTAAAGGGATCAGACACCACTTCACTCGCACCCAGCCTGATCGTGTCCCTTATTTTTTTTTTTCACCGTCTGTGGAAAGCGTGGGCTTTAATGTCAACTGTTACATTACCAAGTTGAAATAACTTTACTGACTTGACGTAGAGAAGAAAAAAACAGTTAGTGTGCTGAACTGTTATCCAATAAGTCAGATTGTCGTTATTTTTACTCCATACAAAAGGATTAATACAAGGGAATCTAAAAGGTGAATTGCTAAATCAATAGATTTTAACTGTTACAACTAAACTACTTGGTTTACTCTAAGTTTAATTCTGAGGAACATAATAACAAACGTGATTCCTTGTCATTTTGACATGCTGCAATCAGAAGTCAAAGCTACATTACCCCTAAAGCATCTCTGCATGCTATAGAGATGAGAGTTCTCACCTCAACAGTAAGTAGTTAAAGTCTTTTATATGGATATCTTTCATCAAGGTCGGTGTGCCGTTAGGTACCTGATTGGCGATAACAGTTTTGTAGTTGTACATCCCAGGGTTTAGCTGCCATCTGCAGAACTCCCCCCTCCAACCCCTAGTAATGGTTCCGCCTCCAATACCGCCGAGAGGAGCACCTGTACCAGCAGAGCAGGTGGTGGGGGGAAATTATGAGTTAATAAGTAATTGAGCACTATAAAAAAAGAAAAAAAAAACATTCAGGTTTGCATAAGCCGACTTCTGCTCCGCAAAAGAATGAAATCAGGTGAGTATTGTCAAATGATTCTTTTGCCTCCCACTATTACCAGCAAAAATGTAAAATTGAATTTACAGTTGGGAGGGATAATGATTAAGTCAACATTTATTTTGATAAAACAATTAATCCTTAGCCACTGAACGTAATCACTCGACCAGTCGACCAATCCCGTTGCGATATTTAAGGTATGGTGGAGGATTTTTTCGCAAATTTTGAAAAAACCCGCCCCTCTCGCCTTTTTTTTTAAAATGCACATGCACCACCCTGTACCCGCTCCCAAGAGGGAACACTTATTATACGAGTGCGAGAGCGTGCATAAGCCTATTTCTCCTCGTGCACTCTCTGTTTAAAAGTTGCTGTTTGCATCTCTCACACAAGCTGACTTTCCAAAAGGTTTGCAATTTTTCCGCTATGTCAGACAGACCACCGGTAAGTGAAAATGGGGACGGGCACGTAGGACGGCCTTACGTACACATCACCAAAATGATTGACAATTTAGGAGGACCACTTATTTTGATGATCCACTGGGAAAAATAACATCCTCCACTATACCTTCAAGGTTTAAAGTGGGACATATAGCTGTGAAGGAAACCAGAGCTGCCGAACTGATAGCCGAACCCAAACAAACATGGCAGCGCAGGAGGAGGACACAAGCAGAGCTGCTGCTAAAAAGAATCTGCTCTTGATTGGTATATCAGCCTCAAAACAAAACAAAAAAATGACTTTTTGATTAGATCTAAAATTATCCAAAAAGACTTGATTAGATTGACAATATTTTCCTTTGTTACGATGACTCCCTACAACAGCATTTAGTTTTGTTTTTCTTACGACTCCTCCTTTAAGATCAGATTTGTGGGGAACATGATTAAAAGTTGTCCTGTTTATAGATTATGCGGGCTGAGAGCTGTGGATCGCTGCAGCTCCTCACGAGTCACCATATCAACTAACCTGATTAATAGCAAGAAACTACTTCCAAATCAAACTGACCATATATCTGCCGCAAAGGCAGCGCTCGAAACATGTCGATGAAAGGAGCCTTCTTCTCCACCTGGGTCTTCTTGTACCACCATTTAAGATACCTGGAAAACATGCAGAGGTAGAGTGAGTCAAAGAGTTATAACCAGGGCAGAATTATATGCTTTTTACTAGCCTGCACCGTTAATAAAGGAACACCATTTCAACAAGCTTGTTCCTGTTTAATGTCTGGAGTTACAGAAGTTTCCAGGCCTTCAGCTCTCTTAGCCAAAGCTGGATGTAAACAAACAGAGAGGACAAAAAAAGAGGGAATTGTGCAACTGTATAAAGAAAGGAGTTGAGCGCAGGGCTCCCACATTGGCGGCTTTACTTCATCTTAGCTCCGGTAATAGTGTGAGACCAAACGCGTGTGTCTAAACGTCACCCTGTGTTTGCCTGGTCAAATATTAATTAGGCAATGTAACAAAAGCTTCCAGGCTGCTTGCAGAGCCTGGAGTCTGAGTCAATAATCTGTTTATACTGTGAGCTTCAAACTGAAACATGCTGGATGTTCTGCTAATATCCTAAACCAGAAGGGTATTGCTGTTTTTTTTTTTTACTTCTCCAGAATGCAGTACACATGCTCAGCATAGCAAATCTGCAGAACTAACAACCCACAACCTCTTTAGGCTACAATTTAACAACAACACACTTAGTGTTCTATTTTTTTTATGTGAAAGGTCAATAAAAGAAAACCGGCCCCATTACACTTTTACCTTATATAAATATAGCAAACTGACCGATGTAAAAACAGGTGATGAATCAACAGGTAAAAAGTGAAAAAAAAAAACATTATGATTCATTTTATTCTTTAGAGACCTAACATGTTGTGATAGTTTTCAGACCCCTCGCACACGTGGGTCACCGATCTTTATTCAACATTTGCTTACGACGCTAAACAAGAGCATTTTACACAACCATGCGCACCTTCAAAGTCCCGCAAGCACAACTCAGTGACCACCAACGCAGCTAAGGTGTGTAACGCACGTTTCTTCGGTTAAAATGATCATTGGTCTACTTTTGCTTCAGAGATATTAAAGATTATTTTTAGGTCTTCCAGAGGTTTACCACCTCCTTAATTAAGCTCTGAACTGAAGCAGAGTGGTCGACTTTTTCAGCGCTATTTTAGCGTAGATTTGTGCAACTGTTGTTTTATTTCATTTTGAAGATATAATCCTTTTTTATTCCTTTCTATGACGTCACTACATCAACAGTGGAGGCGGCGGGTCTTTTCAATAATTTGCTAAACCTTTAAAGGGATAGTTCGGGATTTTTGACATGAATCTGTATGGCATCCCCATCACCAGTGTCATGCAATCACACTGACTTACCCCTGGCAGCATCCTGTGAGCAGAGTTCTCGTCCAGCTTTGGTCAAGCCGAAAGTAGTCCGGCAGGTTTGCTAGACCCAGCGAAATAAAACGTTTCTCTTCCCAAAACATTATGTGTTCAAAAGAGTGATATTTCTGCATCCCAAAAACATTGTAGTGGAAAAAGTCACACGTCGTTATCACTTGGTCCTATTTTCTCTCTGTTCGTATCAGTGCACGCCGTCATTCTGACAGCGAGCTCAACTTTGAGGAGGGCAGGGAAGTCGCTGTTGTTTGTGATGCAGACAGCAGCTGCTGCAACTCCGACATCCTCATCAATGGAAAGGTTCTGTATCTCGGGCATTACTAAATCCCACTCGTGGCAACAGTAGCATCCACCTCTGTCTGCATTAATTCGCACTTGAAACAAGTGCACCATGATTTGTCGGCCACCCTGGATATCGCAGCTCCAGCTGAGGCTCCTGCGGCTCCGGCTTCAGCTTCCATCACTTCACTGTCCACCCTCTCTCTTTCTGCCCGATCTAACTCCATTTGTCGAAGTTCATCCTCAGTGTACTCGGGTTCATAAAGATATCCCTTTGGCTCTAAGTGGAAGTCGATGTTTTCCTCGTCGCTCTCGTAGTCAGACATCTTCCCCAGTAGTAAACAATCGTGAATCAAAAAGGGAGGTCCTTAACCTGACAACAGCCAGATGCATGTCTCGCTCCGCCCAGCTAGGAGCTAGGCGGAGCGAGACATGCATCTGGCTGTTGTCAGGTTAGTAGGCCCTAGCTGTCAGGTCATGGTGTCGCGCGCACTGATACGAACAGAGAGAAAATAGGACCAAGTGATAACGAAGTGTGACTTTTTCCACTACAATGTTCTTGGGATGCAGAAATATCACTCTTTTGAACACATAATGTTTTGGGAAGAGAAACGTTTTATTTCGCTGGGTCTAGCAAACCTGCCGGACTACTTTCGGCTTGACCAAAGCTGGACGAGAACTCTGCTCACAGGATGCTGCCAGGGGTAAGTCAGTGTGATTGCATGACACTGGTGATGGGGATGCCATACAGATTCATGTCAAAAATCCCGAACTATCCCTTTAAGTTGAAATTATGATGTTATTTTTATTATGGAGAGGGAGGAAGAAAAAGCAATATCAGCTTTAAAATAAAAAAAAATGGCTGCATATAAAAATATGAATCAGCCTTCAAAATAAACCTGATTCGGTCAATTTCTTGTTTGATGCGTTTGTTTTTCAGGTGTAATCGGATTTTGGTTTTATGATACAATCGTTGTCTCCGTCTTCTTTGGTGTTTGATCTCAGCTGTTCTCTAACAAACATCTAAAGGCCTCCCCAGAACAGCTGGACTCATACAGAGATGAAATAACACAAAGGTGGACACTCATCTTTCCCAATCAGATGACTTCTCAACACAAATGGTTGCACAGAAATGTATTTAAGGAGAAAAGTGCAAAAAAGTTTGGCATCAGTCGTTCACTCTGTTCATTTATCAGATAACATTCCAGCAAAATATGCTGAATTCTTTAGTGTGACAAAATGATAAGAGTTCAGCTAGTAGAAATACGTTTGCACATCTGATGACAAGGAGGGCGTGACACGGGTAACTAACAGCAAACAATACTTGTACATAAAGAATGTTCCAGCTCCATTCAGCATGGGATGAATTGTGTTATTTTTGGTCAATGCATGTCCTTTGAAGCCTCTGCGGCCTAAAACTATTGTCAGGAAACGTCCGTTTGAAGCCATCGGCGATGGAAACAACAGTCCCCACCCAAGCGTACATCTAAAAACAACGGGTTGTAAAAGCCCTCAGCGAACAGAACAAAATCTAATGAATTTAAAAGTAATTCTAGACATTGCGTGAAACTCTTATCCCTCGCCTAAACTGAACAGGAGGTGTTTTCTCTGATGCAAAGTTCCTTTCAGTGAACAAGATCTGATGCTATAAATCCAGGCAATAATTAACAACAGCGACCATGGCGACAGAGATACCTGAGACACGCCCTGCAGGACCTCTGCAAGCATCGACGTATGCGTTTTCTTTACTGCAGCAGAAGTGAAGCAAACTTGTGGTGTGAAGTGAACATTTGAACTGTTTTTTTAGGGAACTTGTTGGTTTCTCAGGGAAGCAAAATAAAGAAATTATTAAAAAGTCTCATCAGAATTCTGAGCTCATTGCAAAGAAAATATATTTTATTAATTACAAAGCACATTCTGTCCTCATTAAGCTTTGCTTGGGCCACATTTTGTCAGACTGCAGGGTGGGCTGCTCTAAAGCCCTTGAATGTGCTTACTTTACAAAATCACGTGCATTCATGTTGGAAGCTGTGGTGGAGTATTTGTATAGATCACAAATCTATCGACAACCCTTGCACTTTTTTTCACAATTCTTCAGATTCTATGATACTTTTGTTTATCATTGGATTTAATTACACATTAGTTACTAATTAGTGACTATTTAAGCCGACTGTTTACGGATATACGGGTAAAGGGGGGTTGAGTATTTTAGAAAACTAGTCACCATTATTTTGAATTTAAAATTATACACTGCATTGTGTTGGTCTGTCATTAAAACTGAATAAAATGCATTAAGATGATTACAGAGCTCTAAAATGAATCTTCAAAGCGATATTATTAAACCAGTCATTTAACGCTTGAGAGGTTTCTTATCAATTTAGAAAGCAACTAAGCACCCTGAACTTTAGACTAGTAGTTGACCTAGATGTAGACGGATCTCACAGCTTAGCGGATACAAGCTTATTTTCATACATTTAGGGATATCGTTTTCTGAAGAGTCATTATTTCTCAGAGGAAATTTCACTGGTATTACTACATATTTACAATAAAATAAACAAAACTGACATTAATAATATACTAAAACTGCTCAGGTGATTCGTGAGGAGGGGTTCTGAACAGCAGCCTTTAAATCAGGGATAACCGATTAAAAATCAGCGGGGTCTGAATAAAGAAAATCATCAACCAGTAAAGATGCAGAGACATTTTTGATTATAATCTGTGACTTTAAACAGAATTTTAGCACTGAAATAAATTAGCCAGCAGGTGGGTCCGGAAGGGACCGCGGTCCGCTAATCCGTGACCTCTGCTTTAAACGACCCAAACGTCTCACCTGATTCCGAGGCCCAGGTGATCCAAAACGTTGGACAGCGACACATCTTTCGCCTGAAAGGGTTTCCTCTTCTCTTTGAACTCATGAGCCAGGCAGATCCGCCACCCTTCTTTGGGCACCCCATGCCCCGATTCCTTAGAGACACACCTGCTCATCAGGTCCATTGTGGACCTCTCTCCCCAATCCAAACTCATCTCTGCAGGTTTTCCAACACTAAAGAAAAAAAGTGGTGGATAGAAGCCAGTATGGCTCCACAGAGAGCCACCTTCAGTAAACTAGTCAAGCTTTAGTCGCTGCTTTAAAGACAGGAGAGGTGTGTGTTCCAGGTTCCTCCACTGTCACACTGGACTGGATGAATGGGGAGAACCGGTTCTGCACTCATGGACTCTGGATGGATGATGTTTGGTCTTCAGGGTGGAGTTCTAGAGCCATGTTTCAACATTTACAATCGATGCACCTTCTCCAGGAAGTGCTGCCGGGTTAGCATGAGCTCCTGCAACACAAACCAGACAGGAAAACAACACGTTTAATAAAAAGACACGACTTAATAAATCCAATAATCCCTATGGAGAGACAATATATCAAGCAAGCATCTCAGAAATAGCAACACGTCAAGAGTATTGCAGTATTTACAGCCTGGTTACCTCCTTACTCTACAGATGTTAGCTTAGAGCTGTTTGTTTCGGGGCTGTCGTAGAGCTAAAGTGATTGCTAGCTGTAAATATTACCTGAAGTTGTGTTAGAAATGTCCCGTGTGAGGGCTTCAACACGATGCAATAAATCTCCGATGTGTTTTCAGAGGTTGTAGCTCCTCTCTGGGAGGAGTTCACTGGATGTAATCCTTCACCCGGCCGCCCAGCAGGAGGGCTCATTTTTACCCTTCCATTGACTTGCAGGCGCATCCTTCCCTTTAAAACAATCACACACAAAAATACGTTAAAATGCTGAAAGTGGTTAAACACGCGCCTGCTGTTCCTATTTATGCTGGTTCGTGTCGGGGAGTTTTATTTTATTTATTTTATAAGTCGTAGCTGAGCAAAAGTAAACGGTGCCTGAGAAATTTGATTCAGGAAAAGGGATATAATGTAAGAATGGGCCTCTACCATTATAATAATAATAATAAATGTTATATTTACTTGGTTTGAAAAAGTTGTTTATTGAATTTCATCTTTTATGTAATTATTGCTTTTTCTCATCTAAATTGTATCTTATTGGTCCTACCAACACGTTTCTTTATTTATTTAAACACTTTGGTTTGACATGATTAAAATTAACAGTCAATCTGCAGATTATTAGGGCAGAATGCATAAACCTCGTGAGATTAAATTCAGAGGCGTGGCCAGAAATCTTTTATAAGGGTGGCCAGGCGATAGCCAATGATAACCTGAGTGGCGGCCGAAAGCGGATAGGCACCAGAACCTCAGGGTCAATCTACACTGTTCCAACAGGAAACTTAACCAGCAATATATCCATGTTTTCTAAATTATGACAAACTATAGTTTCCTACAGCCTTTGCTAAAAGAATAGATGAATATATTTAAACATCTGTTATTTCTACATAAAAGGTATAGTGGATAAAACTCAGTTTTGAGTTTTGGGGCGTAAATATATCATCATTGTCATTACCTACCTACTTGTATCAATAAAAATCTGCATAAAATTTATATTTACAAGCACTAATATCTACATAAATTGATTATTTGATAAGTTTTTATTAAATTTTTTGATTTCACTGAAGACTCCTAGATGACTTGCACATAATTTTCTCTTCACCCCATATAAGACAAAATCTGGTTCTGAAAAGAGCAGGAATTCTGTACCTATCATCTTTGGTGTTAGTATAATTATGGGTATAGTTAACCACAAAAAGGTTTTGAATATTCCACTTGAGAGTATTACTGCTGACACCATCTGTAAGAGAGGGGAAAAAATGGTAGGGGTGGCCACAGGGGTGGCCAATGATTAGCTAAGTGTGGCCATGGCCACCCCTGGCCCCCCATTTAGCTCTGCCCCTGATTAAATTTCATATAACACAGGGGTCTTCAATGTTTTACAGGCCAAGGGCCCCCAAAATGATGGTGAGTTGGAGCAGAAATTGTGTTATATCAATCTGTATGAAATTGTGTTATATCAATCTGGTCCTATAGTCACTCTATTACATATACAGTAATGTAACTAAAGTTATTTCTCCCTGGGATTATTAAAGTATATCTGATTCTGAATTCTGGGTGATAGGACAGGTGTTGTGAATGAAACGGTGCCCAGCTTGAAAGAAGTGTGTCGCTGAATGCGTGCATTGATGACTGAAAGACATCTTCTGCCTCCATTTATCATTTATCTGTTTACTACAGTGTGTTGAATTCGTGATAATGCCTATTTAAAGATATTTCAATTGGTAGAAAAAATTGCAGGGGGGAATATAAAGAAAAGTCTAATCAACCAAAACTTTTGCGACCCCCATTCAGGACCTCTGTGGACCCCCTAGGGGTCGCGACCCCCTGTTGAAGACATCCGCTCTAGACTTTTGCAAGCACAGACAGGGCCAAATTTTGGGATGATCTGGAGCTCTAGACTAGATTTACGATTGAATAATAGGAAAACTAAATTTGATTTCATTCGTTTGAAATTTTTATATTTTATACAATTAAAATACATACTTGATTGTATTCACGAACATCATTAGAAAGTTGAATGAAATGAAAATACAAGAGTGGTTTACAGTGAAATAAAATAACTTTTATTTCACAATACAGTTGCGCTTCTACTGACAGACCCTTCCTTCCTTCCTTCCTTCCTTCCTTCCTTCCTTCCTTCCTTCCTTCCTTCCTTCCTTCCTTCCTTCCTTCCTTCCTTCCTTCCTTCCTTCCTTCCTTCCTTCCTTCCTTCCTTCCTTCCTTCCTTCCTTCCTTCACAGCCAGGCCCTACTGTCTAAACAAATAAAAGTCTGCCCTTAAGTCAACAGAAACAAAAACCTACACACAAAAAGCCAATCGTTATGGGGTGACTTTTATATGCATCATCAGAAGCCTCAGAGATTTTTTTATTGAGGGTTCATTTTTATACTTGAATCCCACCTAAAGGCTTTTCATCTTCATAAAATATATTTCCCGAATAGCCCCAGAAATGCAGGGCCGATTGGAGATGGCTCACAGAAAAATTATTATTTCATGTATTTAAAACAAACAAAATATATATATCCATTTTTATTCAATTTTTGTTTGAAAACAACTAATTTTTAATAGAAATAATTATGTTATTGTATGGTTTGTCATTTTAGTGCGCAGTAGCGGAAGCAGACGTATTGGTCCATACTCCTTACCAGTTGGTGGCGGTAATGCTCACCTAATGTTTTTGCCAACCGCAATAAAAAAGAAGAAGAAAAAGCGGAAGTAGGCGGTATTCTTCCTGTTTACTGTAGCTAGAGCGATAGCTGGGTCGCAAAGCTATGCTTAGTTTACTCAAAGACAGCTTGAAACTAAGCTGAAATACCTAAAAAGGAGTGATTCAGAAATTATGTCCACGTAAAACGTTAACACATTTACTTCAGCATCGCTTTAGTTTGAGGTATGTTAATACAGTTTGCTGTAAAATAAACAAACTTAACTATTGCGACCGAACAAGTTGACGTCTTTTAACGGTCAGAGTGGTAGAAACACAGCGGCTCCTAAACATGGTTGTGCTTTGAATTCGGCTATTTTTTCTTTTTAAGCATTTAGAGATTTATTGAGGTAGCGTCGGTTTGTTTTTGTGAACCGCCTAGATGATCGAAGTGGTGGCCTCCATGGCCCGGGGCCCAGTGTTCCTGGCCGGGGAGCTCCTGGAGTGCCTCATAACCTTCACCAACCCAATGTCTCACCTCTCCACCTCTGCCAGCAGGTAGGATGATAAGCTTGCTCCAACGTATATGGTCCCCTCCACCCTTTATCTCGGACTCTGCTGGATGTCTTATGCATTTCTGTTTGTATGCTTCTAATAGAATAAGCTGGGTTTATCTTTGTTTCATTGTGATCCTCTGAACACATCCGCAGGGGCGGATCTAGGATTCTTGGAGATCAGGGGCTTATCCCTGAGGGTGCAGATGTCGATTTCTTTTTTTGCTGCCTCACACACAAAACTAAAACCAAATGTCACATGTCACCAAATCTACATGATTTGTTGTTGGTGAAGAGAGGAATAAACACTGTTTAAGACTTGAAGGTAAATATGTTTTTTCCCATGTTATGGAGGGGGAAAATGGTTATTTCAGTCAGCTAAAAAATATTGTTCCCCCCTCATAACTCTAGCACATAAGGAACAAATGCTACCTAAAATAACTTCATTTGTTGATGAGAGAGAGGAATAAACACTGTTAAAGACTTGCAGGTAAATTAATTTCTTCCCATGTTATTGAGGGGGAACTGATTATTTCAATCACCTACTCCCCCCATAACTTTTAGAAATAAAGAGCAACTGTTTCCAAATTCCCAAAAATTGTTATGTGTGCCACTATCTGGTGAATTCCAGTACTGTACATTTTACTCAGATCAGCTCAGAAGCGAGATCCGGGGCTGAGCTGTATTCTTCTTGAGGGAATCAGCTGTAAAATTGCCCTCATAAAAATTAAAGGGTGAAAGGGGATGCTTTATAAGCAAATGAAGACAAACCCAGATCACACTTGTAAGACTGGTTGGAAATAGAAAGGTTTCTGTTGGATCTTACAAACGTTCAACATTTAGCTTCAGAAAAGAAGAAATGGGAGTGAGTAGGGTTGCCGACGTACTTGCCGTATGTCGATGTGTTCTGTGAGAGGCCTTGCTTAGGCAGCTCAACGCTCAAAGTAAAGAAGCCTTTTAACATAATAAAACCTGTGCAGTCGACAACTGAAATCTTGAATGAAAGAAAAGAAGCAGAAAGACATAAAAAAGAACTTATATCTACCCCCATTTTCAACAAAGTAATACTTATTCAACTCAGATAATCACAACCATACAACAAAAAGCACTCCATGCTCATCAATACACAGAAAACAGGCAACAACAACAACAAAGAAGATAAAATTAACTAAACATCAGCCTATCCACTGTCATAGTGACTCATCAAAAAGACCTTCAAGTTTCGATTAAACATAGAATAAGTTTTAGTTCGCTTTAATGCACTAATAAGCTTATTCTGTTAATCACCAACTTCAATAGAAATAGAAATCTTTCCATCGTCGCTACTCTGTACCTGTTTTTTTTTTAAATATCAATTCCTGTTAAGTTACACTCACTGTCTCTTTTAGAAAATCTATTTTTGATATTGTTTGGTAGAACCTTTTTATGTATCTTAAACATGAATTTAAAAATATTATACTCTAACAACTCATTAAGTTTTAATGTATTTAACTTCATACATATCTGATTTGAGTGATCTCTGTATCCACTTATAACTATAAGTTGAGAGTAAATCTTCAAAGCTGGGAAACTGCAGCACATTTTCCAGGGAGAATGATTAAATCTGAAATTATTTTCTGTATTTATTGTCCCATATCTTTCATAGGGGGGGGGGGGTGCTAGTAACTCTACTAGAAATATATCAATGAAACATCCAGTATGTGTGTAACTTGTCTCCTGTCTGACAGCGAGATGTTGGCGTGGGCCAGTGCCCAGATCCACTGCCAGTTTCACGCCAGTGAGAACAGAGTGGCCCTGCCGTCCCAGGGCAACAAGCAGGACGTCCAGGCGGACAGCGACACGGTGCTGATTCCAAGCAGAGGTGAGCAACATGAATACTATTAGTTATCAGACCTACGGCGTTTGCTCCGTCCTTTTCAGGACTGTTCTTTCTGAAAGGGGATTTTTATGTCTGCAAATTGGCCCAAAGATGAAGATTTAGAACCTGTCACTATTTATGTATTTTTGCTTTCATTTCTT